AGCATATTTTTCCGAGATGGCGCACTCCTAGGAGTTGACAGAACTGTCAGAGACCCGCGCCTATTGTCAGGCACTGCTTCATAGGACACTAGCAGCCACCACTTGGGGCCCGACTAGACTCATCCCAGAGTCTAATCATGCTCTGTATTGAGGGGGGGATTTGAGGGGGAAAAAAACCAAACAAATTCTGCTTGCGTCTTTGCTATCACAGGCAGCTAGCCAAGTGGCCTTTAAAGGCCTTAAAGCGAACCTCCTTTCAGGTTCGCTGAGCTCTTTTCTACTTGATAGAAAATCAGAATCAGCATTTTTAACCTGCCACAGATCATAACTGGGTGTCCGGGGGCTTTTCGGAGGTGACTACGCCCTTAAGCACAATTGAGCATAGAGTTACAAAGAGTCTTTGTTACCTTAGTTAACAGAGGTTCGAGCATCCCCCACCCCCACTGTTTTGGCCATCTGAACAACAACAACCTTTTAAAGCTTGCTGAAATTAAACCACACTTACAATTTACAAATTTGTTTGATCTCAAAACTTATTTTCCTCTGGAACGTCAAAAATCTGATGGGGAAAATCAGGAAATATGATGCTGATGGTTTGATTGCATCATACAGGGAAGCATGTGCCGTTACAGTTTTGTTCACTCGTGTAATGAAGCGTTTGCCTTAATTCATCACGTTTCTATGCACAGGAGCATGAACAAGGGCTTTTTCTTTTCTTTTAATCCTAATTGTTGAAGGTGACACAGCCGGGGAGGGGGGGGGGGGTCTGCAGGACTGAACAGTGACTCATCCTGTTGCTCTGGAAGCACAGCCATCCCACCTTCTGCGTGATCTGTTTAAACTTTAAATTAGGTGAAAAGAACCTGGGAAAGGGGTTTATGAAGGATATGTTGCTGTTAAGAAATGTGGTACATTTTCCTGGGTTTTGGGTAGCTGATGCTAGACATGCTCTAATAAAGCAGTCCGTCTTATCACCTTCAGGTGCTTGTGACTTCTGAAATCTGAGGCGATGTTATATTTCACATTTGAAGCAGTTTCTTTCTTGCTTCTTTCATCTCAGTAATTTGATTTCTCTTCCTTCCTCTACAGTTAAAATCCTCTTGTTTTATCTGATTTTCTACGGATGCTTGGCTGGAATTTTTGTTGGGACCATTCAGGCATTGCTGCTAACGTTAAGCAAAGACAAACCCACCTATCAGGACAGAGTTGCTCCCCCAGGTAAGCACATCCTCTTCCTCCTCACCTTTCTGACTTTGCTGCTGCATCAGCTCAGTGATCAGACAAAAAGCCTGTTGGTGTTTCGTGGGCGTTACAGACGACTGTTTGGGAGGGGTGTGCCTCTGAGCAGCTCCTCTATCGGCAGTCTTTCTGACCTTAAATAGGTTCGGCCATTTTGTCCTTCACTCCCCTCAGCCGGTTGATGTTCCCCCCGCGGGCAACAGGGGAACTAAAACGTGTGCTATGATTATGCATCACAGCTGACACGACTGCATGTACTTGCGTGACTACAGTTTGTGGCTTGTTTCTTCAAAGGAAGAAAAAGTTTTGTTTTTCACCACAGCTTTTAAAGGCTTGAAGGGGGGGGAACCTAATGTGTAATCTCGTGAGAGTGCCATCAGACAACGCTGCAGCAGTTTAAAAAATTTCCTGTGCGCTCTGAGACTGATTTGAGTGCCAAGCCTCATCTCGCGGTTTGCACAGCACATGCTCTGCCCCTTAGCAGTATTTTTAGCAGCCATTCTAGATGACGGGCTGCATGTGGCTGCCGTTTTGTTCATGACTGTTGACAATCGGAGATTAGAGCGAGCAGAACAACAGCGTGAGCGTGGAGAGCTCTAAGCTGAAGCAAGTTTCCAGAAGTGGCATGATCAAGGAAGCGGCGAGAAAGGTTCTCTTTTTTTTTTTTTTTTTTTTCTCTCCCCCTTCGGAGCGTGATCCCGCCTCCCACTCAGAGGCTAAAAGTTTCCATTGTGAGAGAAACACACGTGAGAGTGGATGGGTGGGGGTTGGTGAACTTTCACAAGCCTCCTCTGACACTCAAACTGCTGCTTCTCCTCTCGCCGTCTCAACCGGCAGCTCGAGTCCCGCTCATATCTGCGGCAGCAAATAAAACAGGTCCTGCGGCGAGGCCGAGAAGGGTTTCGCGGCTGTCATGCTGCCTCTAGCTACTCTCACTGTCACACTCTCCCCTCGCCACGCCTCGCGCACCAACTCTGTGGAAAATTACTGCTGTGAGGAGCTCTCAGAGGAAATCCCCAAGACCCTCACATTGTCCTTAGATAATGGAGAATGCTCACAATTGCTCACGTGCCATGTCATGTTGCTTCTCTAAGATATTTACACTTTTTTTTTTTTTCACACAAATTGAGTTGTTTTCATTTTTTTGTCCCATGACTTTTGTTTTCCTACCAAACCAGTGTGGTGTTTTTGCAGGTCTGTCACACACCCCACGCTCAGACAAATCTGAAATTTCTTTTAAGAAGAGTGATCCGAGTTCATACAGCAAGTATGTCCAAAGCATGAACGAATTCCTTGAGCTGTACAATGAGACAAAGCAGACTGGGGACCCCTACGAGGAATGTGGAAGCAAGTATCATACAATGCAATCAGCTTTCACCATTTGTCACTCATGAGTGGATGTTTGAAGATCTAAACTTAAATTTTGTTTTCTTACTTGTGGCATTTTCAGTGCTTCCTCTCACGTACAAAGATCGAAGTATGGAAGAAAAGAAGAAAGTCTGCAAGTTTTCTAGGTCTTTGCTGAAAGACTGCTCAGGCACAGACCCTGATTATGGCTTCATGGAGGGGAACCCATGTGTTATCATAAAGCTCAACAGAATTGTCAACTTCCGACCAAAGGTATAGTTACCGCTTAAATTCAAAGGCTAATATTAAGTAGCGCAAAATGGCACCAGTCCCTTTTTTTTTTTTTTTTTTTTTTTTTTTTTTTTTTTTTAATTCTTTTAATGAGCTTAGGCTCACCTCAGACATTAATTTAACCTGCAGGCATGAAGTAAACTGTAGTCCTGGACTGTGCTGCTCTGTATTTATATACCTGAATATCAGTATAATAACAGCACAGGTGGCGGTGATATGCTGTGTAGCTAAGTTAGAGCTAGCTGGCTAACATCCCCCATTTTGGCTGTAAACTTGTGAAGCTTTGCTTTGTGGCCTTAAGATGTAAAGTAATCTGTACTCAGTCATTTGGCTACCTTAGTGGACCGTTTCTGAGTGAACAATTGTAGCACTATAGCGCTAGTAGAATTGCCTTTTCAAGGAAAAAAGATGTTGTAAATTACAATGGAGAAACTTCTCATTCCCATCTATTCGTAGTCTCACTGCCTCTCAAATGACTAAAACAAGTGAGATGTGCTTGCAGTGAGTTCTTGCTCACAGAGTAGAGTTGGCGATCATTTGTCTCAAAGGTCAGATGTGTGGTGTCAGGGGAGCTAAGGGGTCAGAGCAAACAGAAAACCCAAATCCACAAACAGAAAAGCAAATACCCCCAAAAATTACAGGGAGTGCATTTCTGTAAAGGGAAAACCAACTTAGGAAACCTTACAGACATGTGAACCATCCATGAAGCTTTTTCCATTATGTTTGAAAATGGAAAAAAACTTTTGAGAAGCTGGAGCTTGAAGTTGCATTGTGGTTAATGTAGGCACCAATAAGTGAAAGTTTAATTTAAACCAGTTATTGCTTGTTTGTTCTTTCTTTAGGCTCCTTCAAACAACTCATTACTAGAAGAACTGCCGGTGAAAGTTAGCCCTAACGAGATCCCCATTTACTGCAAGCCTAAGGTACGTTTGCAAGAGCGTGTGGCTGTGGCCTTCCAGTTCACAGATACAGGGAGAATGAATATTTGTCTTCAAAAGGACCGGCTGTAAGTCTCACTCAAGTATTGTGTTTGCAGAGAGCTGAGGATGAAGGCCAGATCGGAGAGATAAAGTACTATGGGATAGGCCAAGGCTTTCCTCTGCAGTACTACCCATATTACGGCAAACAGCTGCACCCCGACTACCTGCAGCCCTTGGTGGCCGTTCAGTTCGTCAATGTGACGGAGGGAAAGGAGATCCGCATCGAGTGCAAAGCATTCGGAGACAACATAGATTACAGCGAGAAGGACCGCTACCAGGGACGCTTTGACATAAAGCTCACCGTGTCGTGACCTGAGCTACTGCGAGCACTCAATTTGAAAACGAATACAACTTAGAGAAACCCGTTCAGATAAAAACCACCACTAGTCTTTGAACATTCATAATATACAGGACCTACACTTAATCCGTGTGCTTTACACTAGCTTTTCTGTGTGTTCGTCGAGGGTTAGAATGTAAAATACAAAAGTAGCAATAGCAAATATTTATTCTACTGTACATGAAAAGATTCCTTGAGCCATGGGAAACGTTCATCCATTTACTGTAAAACGGCAATTCCACTACTGACGTGTAGCGAGTTGTTTTCTGTCCCGAAATACTTCACCCTTACGTGGTTTCTATATATTTTTGGAGTGTCCAGTGCTGTAGTCTAGTCCCAGCTGTAACCTCTTTGTCTTATGTCCGCTTTAGTGGTCCAAGGTGTGTGCGCGCGTGTGTGCTCGTGTCTATGTGCAGGCGTTTACAGGAGTGTGTGTTCATGTGCTCTGACTAACTGAATTACTGGCATGGTACTCTGAATGTTTAAGGCCCACGTCTGAGTAAATAACTGCTCTGTGTTTGCGCTTTTTCGTCCCGGTTATTGGAGGAGGGGCACATTTGTTTTGTTCACCTTAGCTGTTAGATATGGTTTGATTACATTTATGTTTGATACTTTAATGCAATTTTTTTTTTTTTTTTTTTTTTTAAATTTTATTTTTTTCTGATTCTTAGTGTAGCGCTTTGTGGGTCCAGCCTAGAAGACAGTCACCTCCACAGAAACAGTGGCGACTCAGTTCTCTAAAATTGGTTTGCTGGAGACATCACGTGACGTGATGCTACTTGGTATTGAATGTTTTAGCCATTTCATGGTGGACGAATTTTATATTTATGCAGTTGTACAATTTTTTTTTTTTTTTTTTTTTTTTTTTTCCAAAAGTGTAACGTATGAATCTAATACCAAAGTCGCTGGTCAAAAAGTTCAAGAACATCAGAGGCAATGCAGTATCCCGTGTAATACGTTTTAGTTGGTGTTAAAAAAATACTTTATTCAGTGTTGAAGATCAAAACACTTGTCAGGAGTCTGCTCTTGTTACTTTATTTAATCTGCATAAGGCTGGAACAATAAACAGAAAAATGAGAAAACTGGAAGTGTTTGACTGTGTAGCTCAACGTGGTTTTCATCCATCCAAAATCTTGAAGAAATACTGCACCTGGAAAAGGAATTTAAGGGACATTTATAGTAACAGCTGATGAATTAACACTGTCTGACACCTCAAATGTCTCTGCACAAGCCCTTTCTTTGCTACTGTTCCAGTCAGGGGAAAATGGCAGCTCAGTCAGTCATAGGCTAATGTTCAACAAGGAGGCGTTTGTCCAGACTACAGATCAGGAGTTTTCCTGAACAATGACGCACGATGGGTCAGGCCCACTCCCTGCAAAACAATGGTTTTGTTTCAAATTCCTCTGCCATTCTTGCTTTTCTAAAACCAGTGTGATCTGAGGCTGCCCCGGCCCACAGGGCGCAATCATGAGACTGGACATGGCCTTAGAGTCCAGGAAGGTTTTGTTCTCGCTAAATGTGAGGTACTTATTTATGCAGGGGCTCAGGGTTTCTTCATCGTGTCTATCTGAAAAGAATGAGAGGAGCTGTACAGCTAACACATTATGGGTGTCGTTTCAGTGTATGGAGTGCACAACATGCGCATGCGCCACCCACCTCCAAAACACTGTCTTCGGGGAGGTCTGTGCAGTGGACGGCGTTTTTCACTTTGTCTTTGCCGTACAGGGCGCGCAGCGTGGTTGGACGAAGGTGCCGTGCAATTTCCTGTCGGATGGAAACATCTGGATTATCACGTGTTCATTAGCGTTGCACTTCAACATTAAATTAAGTGAATTCGGCGCTGTGACGCCATCTCTATCCTGGTGTCAAAGTCTGTGGACAGTTGTGAAAGTCAACATCCTGTACCGGCAGAGTGATTACTCAGCGGCTGAACATGTGATCCTGTGGAGGAAGTGACAAAACAGACACTCAGCAAACTTTCCACTGACTTAGGGGTGGGGGCCTCGGTTCTCAAGCACATTTTCACCACAGCTTTTCAAAAATGACTTCACTCTTTGCTCATCTTTTGCAGAGACCAACTGGCAACGCAAACTAACCTTCATTAAATAAATAAATAAACCCTCCCTGAATATGTAACACACTAAATCCTGAGTACTGTACAACGAATGGCTGTTTAAACCTTTTCCAATTATTATTATTATTTTTTTTTTTTAAATTTATTTTTTCCTAAATTTCATTTCCATGATGGATAACTTGTTGACTTGTAGTTTTACAATCACATTTGGAGCCTTAACCTCCCTGTCTGCTCAGTTAAGACTTGACTTTCTAGCTGTGGGCAACTGTTTAAGAAATGGTTTAGATTTTCAATAATATACTAAAAGGGCAAAAAAAAGTAAACCAGACACTCGATTAGTAGAAAGTCCAGACAGCAGACAGCTAGCAGTGCTTTAACTGTGACCGAGCGTTTGCTGTTACGAACTGGCTTGATTATATGAAGACTAAATATTCTTATACCTCATATCTATTACATTTTTAACTTACCATCTACATTTTAAAAATTGATATGAAACCATCCTTGAAGTTTAAATTTTGAGTTTTTAATCTTTAATTTGAAGCTTTTTGTTTGCATTGGGGTTTTTTGTATTTATATAGAAAGCATTTTGTGACAGTGTTTTACAAATTTGACTTTCAGACTAAAACCACTCCCCTTTCCTTTATTTATAGTTAAGTATAACAAATTTTTTTCATTTTAATTTCTTACAGGCTACAAATAAAGTCTTTTTATTCAACACTTTTGTCTGACCGCTATAGAACAGTAGCCACCTTCTTCCATGCAGCACATTTATCTTCAGTCTATTTCTGACACTCCTAAGGTCAGAGCTGGCCTGTCTCATCCTCTTGAGTTTCCAGGAAATGAAACCCTCCCAACAATGTCTGCCATCAGGAGAGGGGTGTCTGATGAATAGTTCATTTACCAAAATGCCTGTTTAATCTAAAGCAAATCTTACGCAACGTGAAGTAATATTTGATATGCTGGGAAAAGCAAAAAATATGATGGTGTTAACACAGCAAGGGTTGTGTGGTCTTTGTGTTCGGCAGCAGGGAAACATTTCTGACTTGTTTATCCTTCGGTGGATTATGAGCCTGCAGACAAAAGACAGGAACCAGTTTGAAGGTCACAAATCACCCAAGGCTTCCTCTCAAAGAGATGCATTGTCTTTCGAAAAAACCAGTTGGAAACCTATCTGCTGTTCGAACAATCGCACTACACAACACGTGAAAGACTACAAAGGAAAATAAAGACTACAGGCTCAAGGACTCATAGCTAAAGATCAGCTGGGAACTTTGTGTCAACTGAGTTTTTTTTTTTTTAAAGCTCCCTTTTAAGGTTAGACATTTGATTAGGACGTCAGTAATGGCGGCTTTCCACCAGGCTGCCATAACAATTACACTTACAGCTTAAAAACTAACCACCAACTAACACCCATTGCATCAAAAATGGAACTGTTGCTAACAAAAAGTTGTTTTATAAGTATTTTTAGGCTTGGCCAGCAAAAGACTACCAGAAGCATGATGAATTTCTTTCACCTCGGCCTTCTTGAAACAAAGTCAATTGATTAAGAATTGATAAAGCTCAGAAAACACCCATGGATGTCCAGCATTCAACTCCAATTTTACAATCTACCAGTTTCTGATCAAGCACATGTTAGCATGCTAACAAGTAAGCAGACTTCCCTCATCCTGGAGTGAGGGTTGTGGATCCCTGGAATAAGGCCTGTGGTTATGGTGAATCATAAAATACAACAGTAAAAACACCTTCAACATTCAGCATCATCATGCTAAATACAAGCGGTTAACGGTGCATTAAAGTCGCGCACTTGCGGTACAGCTTATTTACAGCCTAACATTAACTTCTTAAGTTCTTGCAACTGCGTTTATGGTTCAAATGAATTATACAACTGGAAATTTTTGTGGAGATTCTCCTCATCTCTGGAAGACAGCAGGAACATCAACAGGTCTCCTAATATGGCTGTTTGCTGAGTGTGCGTGCTGCTGGTGGGAAACACAGTATAACATCCTGTGCAGATCTGCAGTTTGTGTCCCGTGCCACATGAGACTAAAGCCAGCGATGGCAAAGGGGAAGTCAGGGGAAGATTTACTTAGCAATAAAAGAATTCTTTGCAAAACACTGCTCTCTGTAATTGCATTATCTACCCATGAGTGGCCTGCTGTCAGCGTTTAATTTGATTTTAATGAGTCCCATAGTGTACCAGACTGATGCTCACATAACAACTGCTAACTCTGGTGGCCAGCAAAGACTGGGGCAGAGGGACCTAGTGGTCACATGAACACCCAGATATGCCTGATCCTTAACGCCCTGCTGACTGTCCCACCCTGCTGAGAAGAGCAAGACATTGAACTGATACTTGAGTACACCCACTGTACTGCACTCTTTGAGCCTAAAGTCACGAATACTACAAAAAGTGAAGTGCTTAGATTGAGAGTTTTCTATCACCATTATTGAAGTTTTAGAAAATATATATTTTTTAATTAGACAAAACATTAAACACAGCCTCTAAAAAATGTAAGAAAAAATAAATTTCAATAAGGCAGAAATTACACAGACAGAAAAAAAATAAAAGGGAAATAAAACAGTTCAGTGAGAGAATGTACAAACGAAAACACTGTAAAAATCTGAAGTTACAATAAAAAGGCTCTACAAAAAAAAATGAAACTGAATAAAACATTGCAGGTTTGAAATTAAACCACAGAGATGAGGGAACAGATGATTGGCTGCTGTGTTATTTCTTTAAAAAAGGAAAAACTAAGCAGTGTATCCTGTCTTCGACCTCTATCCTTGCAGCTCTTTAGCTGGAAACGATTTCTTGTTTATCTTTTTCCTCTTTTATTTTCATTCCATGGAACAGATAAAAGAGAAGCAGATCCTGAAGCTGCTGCCAAAATGAAATATGGGCACGGACGTCTCAGTAGGCCAACTTTAAAAGGAACAACGAACGTGTCTGGTTACAGTTTCCATCGTTAGGGTTTTGGGTGCTCTAAACTGGACTAAATTTAGCACGGAGACCTCTACAGAGAAGCCGATACTTTTTTCCACTAAACCATTACGCCTCAAAAATCAATAGGAAAAGCATATTTTTCACCATTACAATGCAGGGCTGGTTTGATAGCCTTGTATAACGGGAAGTTTGGGCCTGTCGGAGCATCTCTTACAGTAATATCTTTAGTTGGAACACAGTGGCCATCCATGCTGCTTGTTGAAGGGCGAGGAGCGTATAATCTAAGAAAGTAAAGCTGTATAGACGACCGTTGTGTCTGTCCACTCTGATAAGAGGACACATCACAAGACACGGTGCAATCTTATGACTGAGTGAGTGCAGCGCAGGGAAGCTGAAGGGTGGAGGTGTGAATATACCAGCGCTCTTTATGCCTAGTTAATGCACTTGGCTGTATATTCGAATCGTTTCTGCTCCCTCCTGTATGGAAACACTGGGATTAAATTGATCTAGCATCCACTCTGGCATGATGAAGTGGGTTCGAGGTCATTGAATCTGTGCTGTGTATAGATTAGTCAAACAGAATTAAATCAATAGTCTATTCTTACCACAAACAACTGACCCTTAACTATGAATAGACTTGTGGGGGTGACAGTGTTTGTGCAGTCTAATCTGTCAGCCTGATGGTGACGTCGGGAGTGTCTTTACGCACACATGCACGCACACGTACGCACACACTACGTTTGATAAGAAAACATTCCCTACTGTGCCCGCTGTTTGAAGAATAACGACGTCTACGGGGGTAAAAACCATGATTTTTGTCAATATTTAATCTTCATTATTTAACTAAACCGAACTGTAAATATTTGCCAGAAAATTCAATTTTTTTAAAAAACTGGAGTGTTGAAACTTTGGACAGATTCAAGAAAAAAGAAATCAAGCATCAATAAATTTTTGAGTTTTAATTTGTATGAGGTGACATAAAGGTCTTAGAAACTACAACATGGTTATTAAAACGTAAAAAAACTGACTTTCTGCTTCCAACATTATGAGTGAAATGCAAACCATTTCCAATCTACTGTTGTACTTTTGACTGAGCTGCTCATATATTTTTGTGCGCATTGATGATGTGGTCAAACTCTGTACCGACTGGACTGGCTGGATTTAGCTACATGTGCCTGTCCACAGAAAACGAGCAGAGCGGGCAGCGGTTCCTGGGATAGATTGTGGGGTTGTGCTTGCGGAGCTGGTTCTAATGTTAGCCTGTAATGTTGGGCACTCAACCATTTATCCAGTTTTAAACTATAAGGAGGCATGGACAGTGTTTTTGTATAATTAAGGAAGTAATAAAGTACTTGGTAATCAGATTAAGCATGACCTATGCACGTGAGCATCAGTTGCATAACAGAATGAGAGCACGTCCCATATCTGATGATGGTTGTGTGTAAAGTGTAATAAGAGTTTCGGGTTATTGTCCTCATAAAGTACCCCACCCAGTGCTACTGAAATCATCTGCACGTGAAACTTAAATCTCACATCTCTAATATTATCCAGCCTTTTCCCGTTTCTGTCAGCCAGTAATTTGTAACCGTTAATACACGCTTTCATTTTCATCCCGTCTAGATCACTTTAACTCACTTGTCAGTGCATGTTTCAGTTCTTTGTTCAGTTGATGCATAACAAAAGTCAGTGGGTGATCAGCCCCGTTCCTGCTTTCTTTCACTGTCTTCCAGTGAAATTTGAAATTTATTTTAAAATTGAATTAAATCCATTCAAGGCCATCCGCTCATACAGCAGACCTGCTGACGCCTTAAACCTGTGCTCAAACCTACAGTAGAAAATTTTACATCTTTTAGATGGGTCTTCTTGACCAGAAGGCCATCTTGGCTTAAGCTGATCTGGAAACAAAAAGGGTGCACTTGATTTATATCACAACACAAAAATGGCAAAAGTCAAATCCTTTGATGTGTTTTCTTGTTCTTCTGAAGCTGCAGAAGCCAAAATTGTAACTGAAATTAAAATCCAGCTAATCATCCAGCCCTGACTTTCTTCTCAGAGACCTCTGCCCTTATGTGACTAATCTGATGGAACACAGAGGTGAACTCTTCTGAAGAGCAGGAGTGCTGATGTTTAGGTGATTTGTCAGATTATAACGAGGTGAGAGTGAGGCCATGTGGTGATTAAACTGTTTGACCTCCCAGTTAGTCAGAAAACTCTGAAGCAATCAAAGCGGTTAGAGTCCTGTATGGGGCAAGAGGGCTAAAAAGAAATGACAGCAGCTCAGTGAACAGTCTCCTCAGACTAATCGGAACCACAGCTGCAAAAGTTATGCATTATATTTATTAGCTTTATAGTTACTTTTCAACTAAGTTAGATCTTAGATTGCATTTACTCATTTCAGTTTGGAAATGTTTCGTTTTTAATGTGGATTTTTATTGTATTTTCGTTAGTTTGTACATTTTGTGTTTGTTTTGTTTTCATTCTTGCTTTTAGTTTTTTGTTAACTACAATAACTATTAATCTTTGTTAGGGTCAATGAAATAATTTCCCCATTAATCTAAACACATTTCTTCTTCTGTTGGGTTATTCCATATAAATCAGACAAATCTGAAAAGGTTTGTAGTAGCCAACTGATTCTTCAATAAGTTGAATATTTTAACCGGATCAATGGAAAGTTTTCTTTCACCCTATGAACATTTTAATGAGTAATGGGCTGAAAATGTAGAATCCTCATCATTTCATAAATACACCTGGTGACAGACTGAATTTTGGTAACAGAACTTAAACGTGTTTTTTCAGCCTGAAAATTTCATGTGGTCATCCTCCTGTGCTTTTCAAGTTATGAGGGTTCAAAAATGCTGGGGGAAAAAAATCAAAAAGTACCAAATCTGGACAGACACCTGTACGCTAGACCTGTATTCTATTTAGAATAATGTGTTATAAACTGAGCAGTGGAAAACACATCTTTATTTCGACATCAACGAGCAGCGGCGTAGAGTCATGTGCCCTGGAACGCATTAGCTAATTAACTTTAGCCTTAAATCTTCAGCAGAGCTGATTACAAGTGAAAAACAAGTTGAGTGTTTGATATTTTAAGAAGAATCACAGCTGAGTTGTCAGCAGCTGCTGCACCTGTAGCGGGTGCAGGTGTGGAGTCTGTCACTGTTATGGCAACCGAGCAGAGCGTCAGATCATCAGATTTCACATCACACACCAGCACAGTCACGCAGCTCGGGCTTCACACACACACACACGCACACGCACACACACACACACACACTCAAATATTTTTTTATCTGTCTAGTCTGACAACAGACAAAAGCTTTAAAAAAACCTGAGCTATGTATTATTTTTCCTGTAAGCAGCATCGAACCAAATAGTGAGCTCAGTCTAAATTAGAAATATCAGGGTTCTCCTTCACTGCTGTCCGTCTGCCAGCTTTAATTACTTCTCAGCAGATGTTTCCCAAAGAAGGTGAATAAGAAGAAGGTGCAGAAGATTTAGCCAAGCAAACGGGTATGTAATGCTCCACAAAGAAGGGGGGAGGAGCGCGAATATAATTGTCTAAACTGGATCTACTCAGGACAATAAAAAGTAAAGCCACAGCAGAGAAATGTTATCTCTTAAGACGAGATACTTACCGTTTAATGCTGAACAACTTAAGACCTTTCATAAAAGGAGGATTTATCGCTGGGCTGCTGGATTACTTAAAGCTAGGTGCATGTGTGTGTTACATGTTGTATAATCACTTCATTTTTTTGTGAAGAGGACATTTGGAAAACTCCCTTTTAAAGACAGGCTGATGGATGGATAATCGTTTGCAGAGAATATTGATGAACATTTTGACATTTCACTTGTTGAACAGGCTGCTCCTGCAGAATTTAAACAGGAAACACTCACCGGATCAGCAGGGCCACAGAACTCCCTGAAGGTCTTTGGTGCGTCTGTGCCATGAATCTCCAGGGCCATGCAGGGTCCAGAGCACAGCTCGGTCACCATGTTCTGCGGGAACCAAGCGGAGTTAAAACCCACCTAGTGCTATTGTTTTGGAGTGACACTGTGTACTTATATTATTATATTATATTTATAAACATAAGACTTCCTGCTAAGTTTAGAAAATATGTTTCTATAATTTGATTCCAGATATTGGTCGCACTCATCCTCCTTGTGCTTGCTGCTGTGGGTGAATATTATCAGGTGTCCAAAAACACTCCCGTGAGTGCACGTTTGATATGGACCATGAGAATCGTTTCATTTTTGCTGCCACACATGCATCACAAGGCTGACACTAAAGACGTATCTCTGACTTAACAGCAGTATCTGACGCTATTGGCGCCATTATTACATAATGTCTCCTATCAGCTCCTATCAGTTCATTTTACACAAACTAATGATGTAAACAACTAAGATTACTAATCATCTGTATGCATTACTAATATACATTCAGTAAAAATAAATATTTACTCAAGTTCAACATTCAGTTTGTTTATTAATGATGATTATCATAAAATGTGTGTTTTTTGGTTTTTTTTGTTAACTTAGATCAGTTTACATACTCATTATAGCAACAATCAAAAACTGAGCTTCAAATATGGGCTGCTGGCTGGGAATCTGACACGCCTTGTTACTCTCTGAGGACCTTATGACTTCCTTATCGCACAGAATTTGTGTTGGTGTCATCAAAAGTAGCAAGGGGCAGGGCAGTGATTCTAGGGCTTCCTGTGAGGGCACAACAAGGCAGTGTTTATACTCACAGGATACTCTGTGACGATGCCGTTGTAGACTTCATAGAACTCTTCGGCGTTCACCCGGTCCATGTTGAACTGCGAGGAAAAATTATTAGACATGAAAAACAAGTAGGAAATTACAAATGGAGATAACACTCCAGGAAATGACAGATGAAAAATAAAAGGATACAGACAAGAAAAATTTAGCTTTAATCAAATGGACAGACTTCACTCAGTTAGGATGCTCTGTGCTTATCTTCTGTTACTTTCTGACTCTGTGTATGATGCCGTACCCAAGTACTCCTGGGAAAACACCTGTATAATTTTGCTCAGTGCAGACGCTTGGTAAGAATGTCTCCTCTCTGCTTGTGTTTAACATCCCATCTATTTGATTGCAAATTCAGATCAAGGATTTTAGCAGAAAATCTTGTTTCCTGGAATTCTTTTTCCACTTATCAGGGACCTGTTATTTTCATTTCCAGGTCCATATTTTTACGACTTACGCTCTTCTAGAATAGCTCTGCATGATTCACAGTTCAGATTGTCTGAAACAAGCAGTTTTAGCTTCCTTTAAGAATGCTTTCTATCCCCATCTTTATTGACAAAGTATGTGTGCACAGGCCTTATTACTTTAAACTCTGGTATATTTCATATGAACATCTACCATTACCACTAATTTGCATGAGGACCAGTGGAAGAAGATTTACCATCTGAAGAGCTGAGATCTCAAATCCACCAGCGGATATGGAGTTCAGGATCTTCCCAGCCAGACCTGTGGATATATCAGAACAGTTCATATCTGCAATCTTCAATAATCTTTCTGTCAAGTTTACCCAGGCTGATAAGTGAAGTCTATAGTGGGGCAATAAAACCTGGAGTGAGATCCAAAACAAACAGCCTCTGCAGCAGCAGTCATGATTACCTGATTAATATTCTGAAGTTAAGAGTTATTATTAGTAAACGAGCAGTGAAGCCATCATAAAGCTTCTGTCCATACACGAGTGTTTATTTTGCAGTGACCTCAGTTTTTCCTTTGCATCGAGATTGTGTTATGAGCATCCCGTTAGTGGAAAAATGATTTTCTTCCTGACAGCCTACTATTTAGAAAAAGGTGCACGTCTCATTGCAGCCATCTATTACTGTAAAATCTGGCAGAGCTGCAGTGACAGTGAAGGTCAGACTGATGCAGACACATAACTGAATGAGGGCGCCAGTCCCATAATCTCAGTCTGACTTCCTGATAAAATGTCGTCTGTGTGCTCGTCAGACCGGACTTTCCATTAACTCTAAACGCCACCGTGTGGATTCATGACTTGCACTTTTGGCATCGATGAGTCTCCTTCAGTCCAGTTGTGAGGGAAGGAAGCAGCTCCCGCGTCCTCTGTGCCCTCCCCAGGCAGCAGCCGGTTCAGGATCGGCACACGCTCTCAGCAGCTGGTGCTGTTGCTAGGAGATCATATTCTGGGTGCCTGGCAACAGTAGCTTCTCTGTTCCAGTCATGTCTGAGTCACCACTTCCTTCATCACTGATGTGATTGGCTGAGTCCTTCCTTCAAATGTAGCTGTCACGTCAATTAGCCTTTTAAGTGATCCCCGAGGGATCGGGGCTGTTTGGGCACTGATGATCTCAGTTTGGTCTCAGCTGCAGCAGCAACATGGACGGATGAACAATTTTCTAAATTCAGTTTAATAAAATTCTTAATTATTCTAAGCGTTAATAAAAAAAAAAAAAGGAGGGGGGAGGGGACATATAACTTTAAAAGTTGCATTTTTGAAATTTAACACAAATAATTTACAGGACAATATGCACTTACAGGCCAAATGCAATTATCCTTACGGATGATGCTATAGGATAAATGTCTTTGTGATTTTCTATTAAAATGTATTTTGGAGTTTTACATTTTTTTGAATTAGATTTTTTTCATCTCAAGAAATAAAAGGAAGCTGAACTAACAACACTAAACTTTGGTGTTCAAAATTACTTACTATTATTCTTTATTTTATAACCCATTTCTGATCCTGAACTAGTTTCATATCTCATTGTTAGTTGGAAATCTGAAAAATAAAAAAGTAAACTGTCAGATGATCAAAACGAATGAATGAAATTGCAAAGGAAAGGTACTGAAGACACTTAAAAACCAAAACTATATAAGCTGAAGTTGACTAAAGTTACATTTAACAGGAAGACACAAACAAAACATATAAACAAAAACATTTTAATAATTCTCTCTCTCTCTCATTTCTGTTCAGGCCTCTGGTAGAGCACCTGAGCGCATAATTATTGCTATTATCCACATATTTTCAAATTTACTGACTAACAAGAAAGAAGAAAAAAAGCAGTAAGAAGCATTATTATTTTTTGATTAAGATGCCAAATTTAGGGCTGTCAATGTTAATGTCATCACGATTAAAATTTTTTTAACACAATTAACCCATCTGGAGTGTAGAACTGACAAACTTTGGACAAACTGCCTGAAATGCATTGACAGAGACATTTCAGGGATTAGATGGGTTAGTTGCATTAAAAATTTTAATCATGTTAATTGTGATGACGTGTTAATGTTGACAGCCCTAGCCAAATTACAGTTATTTATGCCAATCCTGAACAGAAAACTAACTTTTCAGGGTTCACTGTCATACTTGATTAATATCTGACTTCTCAAACACTTCCAGTGTCCCAGCTAATATTTGGGTATAAATAATGAGGTAACCGGAGAAGTTTCGAACACATTCCTAAAATTTGTATGTTTTCCTTTTTTATGACAGATGATCTAATAAAGTTGGAAAGCACTGTACAGATCGTATATCAATATATCAATAAATATACTGATACACATATTTAGATACAGTGTACGTGTCCAGCAGTTTTCCCCCATTCTTTTAAATGCATTTCACTGCTTTATGACTATCTTACTCAGCTCTACATAACTGTTCAATATCTGTTGCTACAAAAAATGATTTGACTTCAACAAATGCAGACCTGATTTTGAGGCGACTGCCCCTTTAAATATCAGAAAACAAATGAGCGAAAAAAAAGTTATTGTGCCTACAGCACAGCTTTCCCAGCATTATGTCAGCAAATACCTGCTAAGCCACCAAACCACAATGAGCACAGAGAAATTTGTGGCTGGACTTTGTGAGATTGTGCAAGATCCTCCTTAAATAAAGATAAACAGTCTGTACTGTAACAACATAAAACAAAAAGTTCTTGAAAGCTAAACAGAGTGAAAACAGCCGAAATAACAGAGCAGAGGTACCAGGGTTAACCCTAACCCTTCTTTTTTTTACCCAAACAATAAATAAATAAGAGTATAACACAGGGGAGAGCTTTTTAAAATAATTAAAGTGGACTTAATTACAACAGCATCAATGTGTACAGTCAGCACTAAATGAGCAGCTCCATCATAAGCCACAAGTCTTCATTCACACATACTTCACATCTGAGGTCATTTACTGCAGCAGCAGATTGTGAGATTAACAGTTGCTCAACGAAACCCTAAAGAAACCAAAGAAAGCCTGAGTGCAAGTTATGAAAGTTTATCTTTTTTTCCATTTCACGCGTTCTCTCTTACGCATCTTTCACAACATTTGAACAAGTCACAGCAGGGAGACCACAGGTGTAACGTTAACAATGGCACCATTCCCTTTAGGTGTGGCAGGAAGTCTCACAAGAGAGCAGCATGCAATTCAGCAGGGTGTTGGCGTACAAACACACATACAAACACACACTCACGTGTGTGCGTTTTAAAAATGTCCCCCAAGGAGAATGGTCTGCACTGTGGAATAAAACATCTCTTAACCAGAAACACTACGTTCCTCTCACCAACCCTCTAGGCCACAACATCAGAGTTTTACTGACCTGTGGAAAAAAACAGGAATCCAATTTTCTTAACTCGAGAAAAATGTACTTGTTGCACCCAGGTTCAGTCTGTCTCAGTCTTCTTGTTCCTCAACTCATCCTTGCTGTTTTAAACCATCTTGCTGGGTTTAACATCTTATCTGCACTTGAAATCAATTTTACAGTCTCCATGCATCTTTTTCTGTTTTTCCATTTAATGTAAAAAGTACTGACAGCAGGAAAGATGTGTTTGCAAGACTTTACAGGTGGAAGCCTAACTGTGAAGTTTAGAAATGCCATCACTGGAAAGGCCATGAGCTGGTCAAACAGCCCCATGCCACAGGTGGTTAACCTGTGCCTTAACAGAACGCAGTTTCAGTCTGGTCCACAACAGTAAGTGTAAGTAAGATAAGGTATACTTACTTTACTACTACTTGGGGAAAATATAACTAAGACTTTGTTCTGGGACTTCTAGAGAAAGCAGCAACACAGAACAGATCATCAATGACAGCTGGGGCGGAGGTGGGTTGCAAAGCAGTTTGCAGTTGCAGTACTTACTGAGTACAAATTAAAGCACCTTAAATAACACGCCACACACAACGTTAGCCAGTTAGATTTATAGAAAGGTATCAGCTGATGTGGACTGGCACTGAGATCAGCTGATCTGCTCAGATTGTGGGAAAGCTGTGCGGTGCCTGAACTAACAATATCCTTGGTTAATGGTATTATTTTTGCTGTTCCAGAAATTTTTTTAAAAATATAACCTGTAATGGAAATGGATTTTTAACCCAGCTCAAACATTTTACGTTTTGTTTAATCAGATTTGGGTGGAATTTTTCTTTTAGGAAGGTGCTCAGTTTAGCCTGAAATAACTGTCAACACGGCTGTCTAGTGGCAGGACTTGTTTCTAGAAAGACTTTGTTATAACTAAGGCTGAAAGGAATGCCATTATTGGTTACTTGCATTTACAGCAATAACAGGGAGCCTGGTCCAATCTGATACTAAACAAATGACCACTGAGGACAAACACTTGAGGCTAAATGAGGAATAAATTGAATTAATTCATGAGGGACCCCAGTGAGCTTGTTTACTCTAATGCACAGCGCTCCAGGACAACGAGCCCAGGTCTCTCCTCAATCAACAAGTCTGTGTATGCATACTTCAGCTCTTATCCAGAGAATTTCAGATTTCACAGGTCAGAGCTCCAGAGGCATGCACTGTGAAAAGGGATCAGGGCAGGGATTTGGAAAAATCCAAATCCAAATGTGGTAACCACGCAGTGCCTCCTTGTGACACAAGCACAATAACAGTCATGCATGGAATGAGTGTCAACCAACAGTACTCTTGTGCAAGTATTTATGGTAAAACTGATTATTTAGATCAGTGGTTTCTAAACTGTGTTCATCGAGGTTGAAAACTCAGGACTGCTGTGGGACTTTGTGACAACTATATATTATTTCAACTTCTCAAAAAATAACAACTTCATTGTTAGTATTTATAAAAATCCTTCAAAAGAGAATCAACAGTCTGTCTGCGCAGCTGTAAGGCAGAGGGAATTATGACACATGAAAGGTCCTGACTATTAGTGAGAAGGTTAATGTCACAGGAGTCAGTTCCTTGTGTTGGGGGAACCAAAAGGGAACACCAGTGCAGGTGACCCTACAATTAAATACAATAAGAAAGAAAACCACTGCAAAAGCTACATGTGTCAACATCACGTCAAACTAGCTAAAAAGGCACTCCCTCAGAGAGAAACCTTTTAAAAGATTTCCCAGAACCAAAAGCTTCAGACCTCTTTGTCTTTTTTGTAAGAGCGATTGGAGGTAAGGTATGAGGAGGAGCCAGAGCACAAACTAAACAAACCCTCAAAAAAACAAAAAAAAACCCAACAAAGCTGTAAGTTGGGTAGGAGGCGCATGAAAGGGGCACACACGCTTTCCTAAATACTTCACACTTTATATAAACAGAACATGGTGACAATAAATGACAGAGAAAATGTCAAGTCTGTCTTCACTGACTCCAACTCCACCATGTTTAACTGGAGTTTGTGACAGAAGTTTTTGTTCTGTTCTGCAGCCTGAGTGAACCCGGCAAACTGGCACCTGAACCAGATACAGGGATTAAGCTAGCAACCTTCCAGTTAGTGGATGACTTGTTCTACCTCAACCTACTGGTAGGGAAACAGGAAGAGCTGAACAAGGATTGCCCAACAGTAAATTCTCAAATGATAAAATAAAATAAATAAATAAATGTCACACATTATACCTGAGCCCTATGTGAGGGAAACCCTGGATAAAAGATTAAAGCAAAATGTGTTATTTTATTAATAGCAGATGTTAGCCAGGTTTTTCTTTATAATAGTCTGACTATTATTGATTGACTATAGTCTGACTATTAGATTAATTTAAGTAAATTAACTAAGTTAACTCTAAGATCTGGAGGCAATCAGGCTGCCTGAATATTAGTACTTACGCTGATATTTCAGGTTTCAGTGGTGTTAAATGTTCTAAACATTGGTTGTTTTTCTATTTTAGGCTTTAGCTCATGTACACTGGTCTAATTATTTTTGGTATTTTTGCTGTGTAACTAGTCAATGCTGATTGTTCTGCTGTTTGTCTTAGCCAGGACATGCTTGCAAAAGACATTTTTAATCTCAAGAGTCATTTTATCCTGAAAATAAAAAAATAAAATAAAGATCTATGCTCTACATACAGTAACAAAACAGAAAAAGAGTCAACTTATGGGTTTGTTTGCAATTTGTATTGTTACCTTCTTTCAGTCTTGCAGGCCTGTATTTTATTTTATAAAATAAAAACATTGTAAGTCATATGCTGAAAGGCAGCATGAACACGGGTTCAGTCCCCCCGGACTGTTTCCAGTGTGCTATCTCAACTTGGGCTTTCTCTATTGCCCCTTCAAATAAAGGCTGAAAAAATGCCCCCAGCAAAAAAAGACTTAAACTTTTTTTAAGTTTAAGTCTATTCTGAAGAAGTCTGCCATATCTAACCAAATTCATGGATTTTAACATGTTTCAGCACTTTTTCTGAGCTGATGAATTTGTGCACTTTTTCTGAGCTGATGAACTGCTTGTATCCAATTCAGTTTGCTGAAATTTTGCTGTGGTGTGTGATTTGGTTCACCTTCAGGTGCAGCTACTGTTAGTAATTGTGTTCTCCTTACCTTCAGATATGGCGTGGGGTTTGATGATGCAGCATGTGCAGTCCGTAAAGGCGGCTGTGTTAGAGGGACCGTGCCCAATCGTGGAAGGGAAGAAAAATTCAGTTTCCTAACAAGAATAAAAACACTTTGATCACGTCTGGGCTACCAGGGCACATGTGAGGATGAATAAAGTCTGGAGGTCACAGAGTAACATCCTCACTCTCGCTGCTGCAGCGGGTGAGTCGGAGCCATGCCCGACATTTTTGATGCCATCTGTTCCAAATTGGGCACGGACGCTCTGTGGCGCCTCCCTCCGCGCCACAGCAGGGTCTGAAGTTCCCAAGAGCCCCCTCCAGATAGACATGGCCTCATCACCCATCAGCTCCATGGCAACCACCGGGCCCGAGGACATAAACTGCACTAGGTTACTGCGAAATGGAGCAACGTGTTTGTTTACATTTACTGTTAGGATTACTTTGAATAATATTTTTTTGCTATCAGATATCTTTTCTACTGAAATTTGAGGCATCATTCACCGGGGCACTCACTTAAAGAACGGCTTGCCTTGATGTTCAGTGTAAAAGTCAGCTGCCTGGCTCCTGCAACGCAAGAAACCCATAAAACAATGAGTAAATGAGCAGAAAAATGACGCTGTTTACTGACAGAGACATTCATAGAGGTCATCAGTCTTCTTATCTCCCAGCTTTTTATCTGCGGTAATAAACTCATTCTACAATCATACCATTTAAATAAAGTGACATTTTAACATCAACATTAATTTCATGTCCTTGGATTTTGGGAAGTAAATGATAGGCACTCTCCCCTGCCCCCCCACCATGATTCCACCAAGGCTAGACATAGAAATTCCACAATTTCAAATGTGTAGGTGATAAGAGTTATGATTAATAAACTGGTACCAATTACAGAAAAATATTCTGAGCGTTTACTACTCAGAAGAGGGTTTTTTTTACAGTACATTTTGCTTAAAATATGCAAATAATTGACCCAGTTATAAGTTCTGCTACTTCTGGGAAGCAAAATTAAATGTAAAACTTCTGAATTTTATTACAGGCAATGCCAAAGGCGGCAGTAAATTCAAACCTTGAGCCTACAGTGGATTAAGTGGAGGATGTTCATGTTAAACATGGTCAAAGTTTCTAATAATGAGGTTAGGGTGTGCACAGTAATCTCTTTGAGACAAAAGGGCTCACAGGGCTGCAGACTGCTGTAAATGCTCACACGGTTTTTCCACTCTTGGATCTGTGTTTTTGTGTTTTTGAGACATGTCATAAAAAGGGGATATCCTTGGATTTGATGATCTGACTCCACAAATTTAAAGCAGAAGGATGTTTAGATGCAGAAACAGCAGGTTACAGACAAATGCATAGACAAAATGCTGTACATAAACCCCAGGTATTTAACTTACACAAATACAAAATAATCAATAAAAAAAAGTTAATTTTATGCAGAAGAGTGAACAGATGAGTCAAAGACCACTTATTTTATGTGAGCATTCTCAGAGACTTGAACATAAAGAGAAAGTTGATACCACCGTTGTGATATGACTGTTATCCTGGACTGGGCTTTTAGGTCTTGTTGAGCCATCACAGAAATCCCAGATATGTTCAATGTCTTTGTTGTATAACCCCTGAACTCAAAGTTCACTCAACTTAACAAGCATTATACTTCAAACTGTACTTTCAAATTAAACACAGAAAGATCAGATCAGGGTGAGACTGGGCTAATGTTGTGAGGTCATCCACCTGATAAAATTGCTAGTGTTTAATAAAAATCAGACCTTGTTTGCCTCTTGGCTCGCCATATGTTCCTAATGTGTGTGAGAACGGAGAGCCATCCGTCTGTTTATACAAGGACACTGGCACCAAACAGCCCGTGTTTTCCTCTCCCACAGCTTGTTTGATACTTTCCCACAGTGAGATTATTAGTATTATTATTTTTGGATGTTTGGCAGAGAGGCTGTGACTTTACCACGTGAGCTTTGTCATCTTGGCTTTGGTCACTATCAGGTTGGAGGAGTAGATCAGCTCAAGGATATCTCCGATCTTGGTGACTACGTCTGGCTTTATCAAAGCAAGCGTTCTGGAGACACAGGGAGAGGAGAGGGAAAATAAGAGATGCGATTGGACAGCAGATATCACAGCCAACAGAAGGCTGCACATTAGGACACTCAGGACACAAACAAAATAATGTAGGTACAGTGAATACAAAAAGTCTATACAGTTATAGTACCAGGTTTGTGTGATATTCAAGATAAATAATTTGAATTTTTCCACCTTTGATGTGACCTTTAGCCTGTCAAATAAAAAATAAATAAATCTTTTGACGGGGGAAAAAGTGAAAACTTACAATAAACTGGTAGAATAAACATCCACACCCTCAAACTAACAGATATTTAAAAATCCTCACTAAATTACAGCATTCAGCCTTTTAAGTTCGTGTCATTGCAGCACATTTAGACCTCCACTATTGGCCCACTTTTCCTCACAAAGGAGCTCCAAATCTGTCAAATTGTGAGGGCGCCTTCTCTGCACAGCCCTCTTCAGATCCTCCCACAAACCTCCAGCTGGATTCGGATCTGGGCTCTGGGTCATTCCAAACGTTTAATCCGACCTTCAGAGGGGTTGTTGTGCTGATAGCTGAAACTCTTCAGCTTTCTAGCGGACATCTGAGGGTTGTGTGCTAACTGACTTGACTAGCTAACTGACTGGTATTTAAAATTGGTCACCTTGACCGAGGCTCCAGTTCCACCTATAGAACCCCTAAAGCATTATGCCGCCCCCACTGTACTTCACCATGGGGATGGTATTCTGTGGTCATGGGCAGCGTAGTTTGTGGAATTATGGCCATAAAGTTCAACCTTGTTCTCATCAGACCAAAACACAGCTTCAGACATATGAAAAACACAGTTAATGTTGTCACCTGTGGTGCACAGGAAGTTTCTGTCAGAAATTCTTGCAGCTTGTTTAATGTTCCTGCAGGTCTCTTGGTGTCCTCCCCGACCAGTTTTCTTCTTCCTCCTCTTCAGCATTGATCATCTTTCAACTATCCAGTTGCTGGTGATGTCACTATTGAGCCATATTTTCTCCACTTATCGATGTCCATCTTCACAGTGTCCCGTATCTTTGTAGTGCTCCTGTTACTTCTCTACTGATCTTTATTGATTTACAGTCACTTCAGAGCATTCACCCTCCCTTACTGTATACTATACTTCATTGTAGATTTCGTTTTAAATAGATAATCTTTATCCGCCCAATATCAACAAAGTCATTCATAACCCAGCACTGGAAACTCTCACTTATAAAAGCATTCAAGCCTTTAATTCAGTACTTTGTTATACAGCTCCATAGGTAAGTCTTTACAGTGTTTGCACACCTGGATTTAGTCTTTCCATATACATTTTATTCTGTGTCTACACAGCTTGTCAACATTTATAAAAATCACAGATTTCAACACTCAAGCGCAAACAGCTTTGTTGTAATCTCTTCGTGGGTGTTTTTAATGTCTGTCAGCAGGTTACAGTTAAAGGATTTATTTTTAAGGCCATAACTTTCCAAATAGATCAATCATGTCTACATGGGTAGACACCCCCCCAAATGTAAGTTAGATGAATGATCATACCTTTCTTTTTTACTGCCGAGTTTGTTTGCTGTGTACTGATCCCCATAATCGATCAGATGTAGCTGTCGTGAGAACACGTTCACTCGATTCCCAATAAATAAGTCCTCCTGATGTATGTCATTGTATTTGGTCCTTCTCAGAAATATCCGCTGGTTCTTTACATCAAACTGTAAAACAGGTATATTTTTCAGAAATGCTAAAGACAAAATCTGAAATTTTCATCAATATGGAATTAATTAAAACAAATAAGCTATTTACAATTGCCACTACAAGGTATTCATATTCTGGATTAAAAAAAGAACATTCATAAACACACCTTCAGGCAGAAAAAAGAGAGACAAAAAGTAAGCACTGGAGCAAAAGCGTACCATTTCTACTGAGCCATCTCTGGGGTAGTAAAACAGTTGGTAACGCCGCAGGAGGGCGGAGGTGGGGTCATACCACTCAGTAAGAAAGGCAAACCGGTCCTCCTGAAAATAAACAAATAAATATAAATATAACTTAGATATTAAGCTTCTTTCTGCAAAGGAGAATTTCTGGCAACCCCCAAAAAGCCAAAAGAAAATCGACTGATTCTTACCTCCAGCATATTAGACATTTCTCATTATAAAATGATCAAAAATAACACAAAATTGAACATTTATTTCAAAAAACTGAAACTAACTAACTTATGAGGACAAATCATGTGTGTTTTTTCAACCCCAAAGGCCCAGTTTGAGCCAGGAAAACCTGACTCTGTGCCAACAAATAAAACATACTGAGCTTTTAAAAGGTTGCCTGAAACCACAGGCCAATGTTCAGGTGAATGCGCAAGCCTCACAGATGTAAACTAGGAGGCATGAATCCACACAGTTCAGGTTTATTTTTACATTTTGGTCCATTTCCACAAATGTGTTTATTAACAGAAAACGAATGCAGTAGATAAGGTGGTCAATATTTACAAAATCTGGCTTTTTACAAACCAAAGGCGTCTGTTATTAATAAGCACAGAAATGTTATGACTCAATATGATCAAGTATGCTCACCTGACTAGTAGCAGACTTTATTCAGTTCACCTTGTCAACCAAAAACAATTCAGTAAACACTGATAACGATCGGTTAGCACTGTTGCCACTAAGCAACACAAGCCTGGATTTGGTTTGCAGGTCACTTCCTGCAGATCAGACCTTTCGCCAAACGAAAACATTTCGAGCATCACAAAACCAAAAATACCACAGAGAAGATCATTTTTTGGTTGTTCTACAGCGAATAAAATATGGGCTCATGAGATTTGCAAATATTGCATTCTGCATTCTGTCTTCCATCTTCAGGACAAGTTTGCGTTTCCACACTCCTTATCTTCCTCATGACATTTCCTATTAAGGTTAAGCAGTTAGGAAGACACAGGAAGTGATTTCACAGACTATTTCGCTGCAGTGATTGTCCTAATCACCGCCAGGCCAGTGTTATCATGTTTAAAGGATGATTTGCTGAAGGTGTCTCCTGGTCTTCTGCTCATCATTAATCCAATTGGTTTTGCAAAGAAAATGTTCCCTATCTCTTGCCCCACTGCTTCATGAAGCCTGGGGATGATCCGGGTCTTATCCCGAACAAGCAAAACATCAGTGCTACTATTACTTTCTTAGTTTGTATATTCAAAGCAGTGCTCCTTCAATGTGGGATGGCACCACTGGAAAGGCACAGAGGCAGTAAAAAGTAGGATAAATGAATACAATTTCTTCAAGGACAAATAAATCAGTAACAGTGTTTTGGTACTGTTAGTCTGATTAATTACGAAAAATTCAAAGTGGGTTATTTTTTCATAATAAATGACTGCCCTCCTCCTCCTTTCTTCGATTAGCTCTTAAAATATCAGTAATATCATTACTTTGTAATGTTTTATGTTTTCAATTATTTTTAAGATGCTCATAATTTTCTTCCTCTCATATTCTGTATCATTGCATTTTGTTTTCTTTAAAGTATCTGCACCCACCTCCTACAGGTGCTACACAAATATAATTTGATTGATTGATTAACCAGTCGTCTAACGCACCGTGTGAGAGATAAGGATGTCTCTCACAACTAAAAGCTCAGACCACCTCCTCCACTCAGCCTAGTCAATAGAATAAACAGAAAACATGGGCACCAGCTGAATGGATAGAAACTCTTTGAGCAGAAACATGTTTGATGCCAGGTATACCAACATTAAAAGCACCTGCTCAGCTACACCTTTAGCTAATTTAATCATAGCTGATGTTCACCGTTAGACATTAACCACACAGCTACCTGTAGTATCTGTAGTTAAACTGTGTATACGCCATAAATGATATTTTTAAAGGAGCTAACGGCTAACCCGTTAGCCTGAAGCACTGATGTTTAGAACTGCTCGGCTAGCTTGTGTTTATTCTGCTAACAGTAGCAAACAGCAACTTGTTTCAGGCTCTAACGGAAGTTTTTACCTTCACCGAAGCCCTCACGCCCCCCGGTTTGATGACATGAGGGAATCTTTACTCACCATCTTTTAAAACATCCCTGTAAACTCTGTGTGACAGCACACTGTCGTTAGCTAGCAAACATTAGCCGTACTTCGTTTCTATAGTAACTGCAGAGGTGCATTCACGTGTTCATGGGAAGTCTGACCTTTCAGCACAGTTTTTGTTATTTGTTTTTATGCAGAGCTTAAAATGTAATATATTAGTCATAAATGATTGGATGGATATCTTAAATTAAACTGTATACGTGATAATTATAAAGCAGTACAAAAGAAAAGCTGCGCTGTCTTGCTCCAGTGGTTGTTTATAAAGTAAAGGAGCGAGCAAGAATCGGATTCTGGTGAAATACAGTGTGCATTTATTGTGTAGGAGGACATCTAGTGGCGGTCTGCTGATGCTGCGAAGAAGTTCAGTTTTGAGCGGCCATAAACGCACCTTCACTGTTACCCGGAAGGACAACATTATGAAACGTGAAGGATCTGATGTTGCACTTCACTCTCTTCTGTGTGAATAATTAAGCTGCCCGGTGGTGTTATTTCAGAGGAGTCAGCGTTAGTAACTTGACTGAATGATCTTCTTATGAAAAGCAGTTCAAAGAATTCTCCAGTAAATCTTTTAATAAAGTGTTGCTCCATGGGCTCCTCTGCTCTTCTCACACAAATGGTTAATGATGAAGGGCCATTGATCCTAGATGGTGGACTGGCAACTGATCTGGAAGCGCATGGAGCCAAACTGCAGGTAAATCATAAAAATAACCTGCAACAGGTCACCATTTTCTATTGATTAGACTAATTTAATTTCTCTCTGGAGATGTTTTGTGTCTATTTTTAATCCATGTCTGTATTTTGAAGTTGATGGCAGTAACATATCTATAAAAAAAAGGGTGGGACAAGGCCATGTGTCTGGGAACTGAGGAGAGCAGCTGCTGGACTTATCAGGAGAGGAATGTCATCCCATTTCGGTCTGATACAGGATTCCAGCTGCTCAGCAGTCCTGAATCTCCTTTGTAGTGTTTTTGGTTTCATGATGCTCCAGACGCTTTGCTTGATGAAAGGTCTGGACAACAGGCCTGCAGTTCAGCACTCAGACTCAGATTTGATGAAGTATGCTGTTTACCATCATCCTGCTGAAATACGCAAGGCCTTTCCTGAAAAAGACGTCACCTGAATGGGAGCATATGTGGCCCTGAGATGTCCAACCCACTGAAACCCAAGAGATTCAAAAGCGCACAAAACAAAACAGAAGTGTTTTTTCTTCTTACATTAAGTTTCTTTGTCTACAGCACATCTGTTTGTGAAGTTAGAAAAACTCTGTCCACCCGAGAAACTTCCAGTCGTCACCACACCTGCATTTCCTACACGTGCTGGTGAAACTTGTGCAACTTGGGACTTGTTAGTTGCTCACAATGCTTCACCTGGGATGTAGACTGCAGATATTCCCTACTTAGAATCACAGCTTGCTGAACTTTACAGAGTCAGTCAAACCTGAGCATCAAAGGCTCATCTGCGATCTGAGTGTACTCTGTATCTTTGCAGCAGAAAATACCTGCATGGTTTTGTATTTATTTTCAGAGAGATGGTTAAATGACCTGAATATATCCTCTGGCCTTGTTCTCACGGCCTGTCTGTGACTGTGAGCCACTTGATTTTCACAGCTTTTATTTTTTTTTTCATTGTATTATCTTTACTGAATTTCCCAAATCTGCCCTCTTGAGAAATATAAAGTACGTAAACAGGTGAATAATATTTTTATCTGGTCTTTACAGATCAAATATAAGATTTTTTTTATTAATGTGAATCTGGACTGAAATTCGTGTGTGTGTGTGTGTGTGTTACATATGCAGGGAGACCCTCTGTGGAGCGCCAGGCTTTTGCACACTGATCCTCAGGCCATAAGAGATGCTCATTACAGGTGTGTCCATGCAAAAAATGTTGGTAAATACAAATCAATCAGCACTTAATGTATACACTTTGTGTGAACAGGTTCCTCCTCAGTGGTGCTGATGTCATCACGACAGCCACATACCAGGCAAGTATCCCAGGATTCATCAGCCACCTGGAGGTGAGCGCTGAACGCGCCAGAGAGCTGCTGATGTCCGGAGTTCATCTGGCCAAAGAGACGGTGAAGAGGTTTGAGTCAGGTAGGAGATCTTACGCTGAGCTGAGCCGACTCTTGCTGTAAACTGTGATATAATCTCACTGTTTATTTCTCTGTAAAGGGAAGAGACGCCCCCTGGTGGCAGGCTCTGTGGGGCCGTACGGGGCCTTTCTCCACGATGGCTCGGAGTACACTGGCGCTTACGCAGAGCAGATGAGTGTTGAAGTAGGTACCCCTCAGCCACCTACTGGACTTTATGCCTGCTTTGAGAAGATTACCCAGAATAGTTGTTTATATCTCCGGTTCTGGTTCTGTTTATATTTTCGGTTCATTTCATGAAAAATCATTAAGTACCTCCTTTTTTGGGACAATAACTTCAGTATATTTAATGACACTATGACACTTTTTACCTTAATACTATGGCTATTTTCAGAATTACAAACAAAATTGAAGCATTTTGAGTACAACAGAGATCTATATGACATTTTAATTGTAAAACACATTTAAGCTGTGTACACTTGTGTCTTTAATCTATTCGAAGGAGCTTAAAGTTTGGCACGGGCCTCAGATTGACTGCTTAGCAGCTGCGGGAGTTGATCTGATCGCCTTTGAGACAATCCCGAGCATCAAAGAGGCGGAGGCTGTGGTGGAGCTGCTGAGGGAGTTTCCAAACTCGAAAGCCTGGCTGTCGTTCTCCTGTAAGGTAATCGCTGCCGGTGAACAGCGATGACGAAAGATCCATATTAGTTCGTTGTTAGTCACACAATGACTCGCCTCGCCATCAGGACGAGAAGCGTATATCGGACGGCAGCCTGTTTGCTGACGCCGTGCGGGTCGCCGAGAGATCCACGCAGCTGCTCGCTGTGGGAGTCAACTGCTGTCCTCCAGACGTGGTGGAGTCGCTGCTGGACTCTGCTGGACCGCTGCACGTCTCAAACATGAGCTGGGTGGTGTACCCTAACAGCGGAGAGGAGTGGGACACTGAGCGGGGGTGGGTCTGATGCTAAATTAACACACTAAATCTAAACGCCTCACATCAACGTTTACATTCTGTAAATACAACATAAAGCTACCATAAAAACTTGATTCCTTAAAGAGAAAAAGGAAAATCTGCTAAATATCTGTGTGGATTCAGTAAAGGATCTTTTTTCATTCAAAGGTGGCAAACATCAGGAAAACCATCAGGATGGACGCCTGATCTGAGCCACATGTGGGTGAAGCAGGGCGCTGCTCTGATAGGTGAGCTCAGCTGCTTTCTCTTATACTCAGTCTTCTTCTGTTTTGCAGCATTTTCTCTGAGCAGCTCTTCTCTGTCTTACAGGGGGATGCTGTCGTATCGGCCCTGCTCACATAGCAGAGCTAAGACAGCAGTTAAAGGGGCGTTGAACCTCCAGCCTCTGCAGAGAGGCCTCAAAACTTGGCTGCCTACAAGAACAGGACAAGCTGAAGGAGGCAGAAACCTGTCACTGCTGACTTTCTGCAAATTATAATGAAATCTGTGATTGATGACATGATGCTGGTGCTCACACTCTGGCTGAGCGGGCCTTCTTGTTTATACAGGGCTTATGTTCACTATAAGAGCGTGAGGAGACTCAGAAGAGAGGGAATAAATTATCATTTCTGATTCAGTCGTGTTGTGACTAAGTTGCTTAAAAATGCCACTGAGCAAGTTGAAATTAATGTGATCCCGAAAATTCAATTAGTGGACATGCAGTTAGTGGGGTTAGGTTAATTGGAGAATCTAAATTGCCCATAGGTGTGAATATGAGTGCGAGCGGTTGTCTGTCTCTCTGTGTTAGCCCTGCGTCTGGCTGCTGACCTGTCCGGGGTGTATCCCGTCTGTCGCCCTATGGTATCTAGGATACGCTACATCCTCCCTGCATCCCTGACAAGGATAAGTGGATGGATGAAGAGAATGGATTGATGAATTTGTCATATTTGTTCAATCCAGCAGGAAAGGTAAATAAAAACATTTTGTGACTAAGACTTTCATGGTAAAAAGGGTTCTACATGCTTTATTTGACATGAAATGAGACTCAGAGCCGTGTGAATAAAAGCAACACCGGAAGAGTCACAATAAATGTTAAACAAAAAAAAAATACGAATGCTGCAGGAATTCTTAAAAATCCCATTTTATTGTAAAATAAGTCAATAAATAAACCACTACATCAAACCCACTTAGGTACACAATGACTGTGTGTGTGGGTCAGAGACAAACGGACCCACAAAAGGTGCAAAGAAACATGTAAAGGAACTGCTCGTGTCTGAAATAAACCATGAGTGTCACTCGGAGTGTCCAAAGTTTCTACAGCTCCTGTGTTTAAACACCAGGATTGTCTACCGTCCCCCCGGAGATTTCACGAAACACAACACAACGCCAGCAGCTTTCACGATACTTTAACTGGACGAGCCGCTGAACGCCAGGTGAGAAACGATCCCACCTCCTGTACCTGTACGATGAGCTGCGTCTGAAAGAATGTACAGTGGATGTGTCGGTGCAGCTCAGATTAAACCTGCAGAAACGTGTTTGAGATGAGCGGCAACGCCGTGAGGTTTGCTTTGAGTGGGTCCGACTTCTCAAAGCTCCTTTTATTTATTATTTATAGATTTATTCATTTATGATCTGCGGCCAAATCTCTTGCGGGAATGATTACAGCAAACCAAAGCATCCTCCCTGTTTCTATTAGAAGAAAACCTTCTGCTGGGATATTCTGCAGAAGTGTTGCACGTTTTCTGATTGCTCAAATATTTGAGCTTTTCGCAACAGGCGGCTACAAATGAGTTTATTAATTTCAGTTCTTCTGCTGCGTCTCGACACAACAACACAGAGCTACTGAAGAAATTCGGCTGCTGCCAATCCACATTTCCACAGACCGAAGAACCAAACTTGCCGTAGTGTTACAAAGAGAAAGTTGGGACGATTTACATGGGAAACATGTATTTGAGAATTATTGCTGAATTTCTAAAGGTTGGGCATTTTGGCCCCAACACTCAACCTTTTTCCAGAGGAAATAACTGTAACTGGTTCAATGTCGCCCCGGTTAGAAGGACGCAGACGACTGATGGCCTCAAAGTTTACTTCGTTAGTTTGTCGGTTTACTGCTTCAGACTGAAAACACAAGGCTGGAAAACCATTTCAAGTTACTGCTGACCTGAAAGCTGCACGCAATGCTACACGGGCCAGAAATTTCATGTGGATCAGTCATGGAACTGCCTCTGTAATGATTGCGAAGCAGCTGTCTCCATATTGCTTGTCTTCACTGCTAAAGGACAAAGTGAGCAAAGAAAAAGGATATGGCCACGGGAGACAAACAAGAAGTGAAAACACCCTAAAGAGAGTATCTGCTTCAAAGCACTAAAATGAGCTGAACATGTGGTAGTCTTAAATATTCAAAAAGGACTCTTGTGATTTCTGTAAAGCTTCTACTGTCAATAAATTCAATAAAAACTGCTTCCTGGTCACTTCCCTCTATAGGTTTTTAACTGGGAGGAGACCCCCCTAGCAGACCCATATCTCATTTTGACTGGGAACACCTTGGGATGCTGCAGGGGGAAAGGGAAAGGTCACTGGGAAAAAGGATATCTGGCATAACCTGCTGAGCCTAGAAGTGACCCGACTTTGGATAAGCAGAAGACATGGATGCATCGAGCAGTTTTAGGAGATGATTAAAAAAAATGAAACTACGTATCTGAGCTGTTTTTGGACATTTAAGGAGTCCTAACGCTTCACTAACAGTGCATTTTGGTGTTTTCATGCCGTTTATTAACAGTAAACTGCAGAAAACCCCAGACCTATTCTTTAACTTCATAACTTCACTACTGTTTAGATACTCAGTCCTCATACTGCTCATCCCTAAGAACCTTTCAGTCTGTGATGTCTTCTTCGAGGTCGCTGTCGGGCGAGCTGCGCTGTCTGTACTCCGTGCTGTTGGACAGGCGTTTCCAGCTGGTGTCTTTCTGGCTTCCCATGCTGTGCGAGCGTCCCAGCTGGGCCATCCGCTTGGCTGACGTCCTCTCTTCGCTGTCGTCGCTCGCGTGGGCCCTTTCCGTTCCAGATTGGTGAAAGTCGTGCCGCAGGTTTTCCAAATTCAGCGCCCAGGGGCCAAGCTTCTGCCAGTTGACCCTCTGGAAGGCCATGATGCAGTGCAGGTTTCCACCTACCTGCGAATGAAGAAGCCTTTTAGTTATTCACCATCTCAGACACACAAACATTTAAACAGCTGGTCTGAGAATTGGAACCTTTTTGGTTTTGCGGCGCTGAATCCCCCTCTCTGTGTGGCGAATGTCCAGGTATTCTGGATTTTGGGTGTTGAGGTCAGTCACGATATCCAGCCACCTGCAGAGAGAACTTCCCGTTAAACTGCTTAACAGCAGCAGACGTGGAAATGGAGTAAAAACTGAACAGAAACATACTTTTTACAATGAATAGCCGGATGTTTTCTGCTGGGTTCCCCGATTAAGATCCAGTATTCCATTTCGTTAGTGGGAAGAGCGCCCCTTCACAGAAAACAGGACAACATCTGTTACTAAAAACTAGTCAACTAATTTGTTAATATTTTCATATGGTGACATTAAGAATGTAAAGTCTCTTGTTTAAGTCCATAAGATTTTACATCTCAGGACATAATAAAAAAATCAGCAGCTCCTCAGAGGGTCATAAAATTAGGTAAATTAAGTTTTTTAAAGTGTGCTTTCATGGATTTAACCTTTAACATGCTTATTGTGGCCTGTAGAGTTATGGAGTTTCTCTGAGCACTGCAGGGTTTGAGCGTGGAGTGAATATGCTGGGATGTCCACTCCTGGGAAGACTTAGCACACACCTGAATGTGCCGAAGCCTCTGCTTTTAAAGAGGTGTTCACACTTCCTGAGCACCTCTAAGAATAAACAGTTTCCTGTTACTTACCCTCTAATTCAAGTCAAGACTTTGTCCTCAGGACTGCAAAGAGTCCCATTAAAACGTCTTTTTCACGCAGCCAAAAGATTAAATAAAATCTCTAACAAACGTAAACTTACAGCAAACAATGCAACAAAGAAATATGACAAAACAAAACAACTCTACACAAAAAGAAATAAGCTAAATTAAAAAGTTTAAAAAAGTTAAAAAAAAAATGAACGAGCATCATCAAGTAAATATCTACATAAAATAAAATGAGCCTTTAATGTGGATCAATGCAGTAAACGGAAACCTCATTCATTATATTTTGTGCAGGGGCTAGCAGAAAAATCTCAAAACACAGCTTTTAGCGAGCACTGATCTAAATGAGCAGTTCTAACTGCTGTGACGTGGCGTTACCTGTACGCCTTTGCTGCTTTGAGCGGCGTGGCTTCGAACCCCACGGGGCAAAAGTAGTGGTTCTGACAGTGGTAAATGTAGGCCATGGACTCGTCCTTCAGGCCTTGTGTCAGTTTCATCAGAGCTCCTTCAGCTGAAAAGAAGAACGAGTTTAATCACTCAAGCTGCACATCTGTAAGAATAACAGCGCTGAGTGGGTCAGCTGACTCGCCTGTTTCTCCTGCTGTCTTGTGCTTTCCGTGTGGTTTGTACAGAATATAGGAGCAACCTCGCACTCGGAAGTTGTCGTTGATTTGTCTGAACCACCTGTGAGGAAAACGCACTGACTGCAGACCTGCGCACTCTTTTGATTTTTTTTTTTTTTAAGTAAAAGATGGGAGGTTTGTGTACCGCATCAGTGTAGCGTTGCCGGTGAAGGGACCAAACTTGATTTCTTCAAACGGCGGCTGAAACCCCAGAATATGCAGAGCTTCCTCCTGAGAGATGGGTGGCAGACTGGCAATGCAAACAAACATTTACACCTTTTATTCATCGCCCACACTTCATAAGCTGATTTTTTTTTTTATGAGATAAGATGCAGGCTGCTCACTTTCCTGCGCCAAGCGTGCTGTACAGGAAGTTCCAGCAGGAAACCAGCGAGGAGATCCCACAAGACGTCTTATACTGTGGCCGACTGATGCAGTACCTGCAGAAAAATGGATTATAACACAAAAGACAGACTTCTGTTAAGGTAACGGGTCCTCTCCGAAAGAAGACAAGAGCTTCTGGAGAATCACCGGGGTTGCAATGAAAATACTTTTTTATGTGGGGTTTAATTTCTTCAAGTATTCATATTGGTTTATCAAAATTGCCAGAAATAACAGGAAATGCTGGATTACAGTAGGAAGGTAACAAATATTCACTGCCTTAAATCAATGTGCAACCATTCAGCAGAATGGCAGAGTCTTACTCCAGAAAAAACCCGGAGGACAGAGGCAAACATTTGGCACTGCCCTCACAGCTTTCAGTCATCCGCCTGTGCAATTACAATTTCAGATAAATGAACACTTCTAGATGCAGCTGTCACAGCCACAGCGACAACAAAACGAGACAGCCGTTGTGCTGTGAAAGAAAAACTCATTCAAATAAACACAAATGCGCTGACCGTGTCCTCGCTCTTTGGTTTCTAAACTTTACTGCCCTTCTTTAGTAAATCCTGACCCCAGGGGACAAAAAAGGGCATTGAGCTGGCTCTAAAGCTCTGCAGTGAAAATGGAGAGTGCAGAGAGTCAAATCAATCTCTCCCCTTTTATCTCAGACAATCAAAAAGCTCCTGGCATGTTTCCATCCATCCTCTACATGACTGCCATCTTGTGGCCACAGTCAGCAGTTGCCGCTAAAGCTGCGCTTATTTCATGCACATTGGAGACCGTAGCTCCCTCTGTTATATAGTCGTGTCCGTCTCCCAGTAACACTGACCGGAGGAGCTTTTTTCTGATGGTTTGCATATGCACATTTTGGACAAACCTCTCGTCTGGTCTGATAGGAAACAAAAATGCAAGGGAAGCAACCCCGGCTCTGCTTTCACTGCTCTGATATCAATTATGATTGACCCTTTGTGTGGAAACACAGCTTAGTGGTGGAGTAGCAAGTAAAAGAGCTTCAGTGATTTACCGTCAAGCGAATCACCTCAGCCGACATGTGTGATGTAGAGAAGATGAAGTTTGAAAAGGATGTTAATAACTCCTTTAGTACATTAGCAAGGGAAGCTATAACCATAATGGACATAATGGACAGTGGCGCTGACCATGTCTGGTCTAATAAAACAGGCAAGCTGAGCAGGTGCAGGCTCAGCAGCACTTTCAGAACAGCATCTATAAAAATCTCTAAATGTAATAGGATTAACCAGCTGTTTTGCCAACACTCCACCAACATTTTCCATCCATATTTTAATCCCCCGATAGATATTGACCATTAACCACGTCACACAACACTCAACGCTTTTAATTCAGATTATTTTTTTGTGATTAATATTTTAATATACTTTTGTAGACCTGTATTTATCAGCTCATTAACTTTTTTAGAGATCATCGCAAACATGTGATGTTGGACATTAAACATTAAACAGAATAACTATTTACAATGCGCTCAACCTTAAACATACACAGCAGTTATATGTTTAAGATAATATAAATAATACACAATTTAACACAGAGAGAGAACATTATTCTGTAGAGTGATTATTTTTACTTTTGATATTTTAGGCACAACTTTCCAATAAAACAGTTTCATGTATACTGAGGTGTTTTCATAGTGTTTTATTGGTTCTTTTCCTAAACAGATAGTAGATACAAAAATGTGAAGGTGTCCATGTAGAGTGCAGATAAACAGCATGAATGGTATGTTTTAATCTGATCCAGTTTATCTTGTTAAATAGTGAGTAAATAGTAAAGAGAGATGTTTTTTGTTTGTGTGTGTGAGATGGAGGGGATGGTCTCTGCTTTCCTTTCTGTAAAAGTCACTGCACGAACATGGAGGAAATGAAAATGGAGGCTAAATATAACATTACCATCTTCTGAGGTCGAGCACTTTCCTCTGTTTGATCTCCTCCAGTGAGGCGTGAGGAGGGACATCTTGCAGGTTCCTGCTGGGTCTGTCGGATGACTTCATCTTCTTAGCGCCGCATTTCTTACCATTGCCTGAAAAAGTGTTTCAAAAAACATCAAAGTGTGACATCATGTAAACCAAACTGATTAAATTCACTTCCAGACCTTTCTTACTTGCTCTTATTTTCCTTGTATATGCAGTGTTGAAGTCTGCTGTGTCAATCTCCCAGGCCAAAATAGGCTTGGACACGTCCTCCATGTCACAGTCCTCGCCTGCCCCCCCATGGGAACCTCCAGTGTGTGCGGCACTGAGCTCTGTGGAGGGTTTGGGCTTTACACGTGGGGATCCGTCATCCTGCTTCTTCGAGAGCGCGTCCCTGCCTGTGTTTGGGGGGCAGTACACGGAGGCAGCCTGGTTTAAGAGGGCATAATCAGAGCAGACTGTGTAGAACTTCTCACGGGAGTGTGTGACCGGGCAGGTCCACGGCAGGTGGAGCTCAGCACTAGAAGCCCGCCTCACCCTCGCGGCATCCCGGGCCAGGGACCGAATCAGGCTGTGCTCCTCCTCCCTGTCTGCGGTCCGCTGCAGCCCTGATGGCTCCGCAGACCCAGACAGGTTTGTTCCCTGACCCTCTGAGGTGTTAGGCATCGAGCGGCCGCTGAGCTGACTGGCAACAGAACCGGACGAGACGGAACGCGATGATGGAGAAGTGACCTCTGCAGGGAAAAAAGGAGGTTATTCAAAATATATGAGAAGAAGATGAAAGTGCAGAGATAGAGACCTCACACTGTGCACTCAGATAGGAGAAATCAGTCAGCTAATAGTTTTATCTGACACAGAAACATCTGTATTACATCAGGATAGCTCAGCTCTGCTGCCACAAACACAGACACAGGGGAATGTTACATATGTTACATATCACAACAGATTTTTATTCACCAAGCTCTTTCTGTGTATTTGTTCTCCCCCTCCTTCTTCTTTGTAATTTTTACCACACTGAGCTTGTCTTCCATTACTGTATTTTATTTTACCAAACTATTCTACTTTATTTTTGCCTTTTTGTTGCACGTGATGTTTAATATTTTAATATTTTTGCTTCTGTGAAAGGAATTTGCATCCAATCACCTGCCTTCAAATGTATTTGGATCATACATTGGAGAGAATGCAGAACCAAAAAGCTCCTGAAACACATGAACCAACTTTCTTAGTCTAACAGTTACCATAACTAGCAAAATCCATCATTATCAAAAATTGCCAGTGGACTTTTCAACAAGATTGCTTAATAATTAAATAATTAAGTCCTACAGAGTGAGGGGATGCCTGAGGAATGGAGAAGAAGTGCACTGGTACTGATTTTCAAGAACAAGGGTGATGTGCAGAGCTTCACACCATGAAGCTGTGGGAAAGAGTTGTTGAAGCTAGGTTAAGTAGCAGCAGTATGCCTTCATGCTGAGAAAGAGCTCTACAGATGTAATGTGTGCTTAGGGAGTGTTGATGGGGGAGTACAGAAAAGGTCAGAAGGAGATTGACGGTCTCTGCATGGATCAGAGAAAGGATATTATAAGGCGCCAAAAGAGGAACTGCATAAGGAAGTCAGGAGTGGCAGAAAAGTATGTTAAGGTCGTGCAGGACATGTATGAGGACAGCGAGACAGTGGGGAGATGTGTGTTAGGAGTGACAGATGGGTTCAAGTTGGGGGTGAGATTAAATTTTTTTCAGTGGTGATGGAGAGGCTGATGGATGAGGTCAGGCAGGAGTTTGCAGATGACACTGATCGGTAATGATCAAGTGGAGTCTGCAGAGGTGGAAGTCTAACGAAAGACTTCTTTAAGTTGCTTGAAGACGTTTCATCTCTCATCCGAGAAGCTTCTTCAGTTCTAGGGTCAAATGGTGGAGAGTCCCAGATTTAAACCCTGTGGGAGTATCCCCCCAAGAGGGACAAAAGGACCCCCTAATGATCCTCTACCCAATCACATGAGCCAAGGTGTGAAAACGGGTGTAGGTCATAATCAGCCAAGGTTTCGGGTGAGCTCATTGTGAAATCTAGCCCCACCCTATTATGTGATTTCCTGAGGTCATATGGCCCAGGATGTGAGTGGGCGTTAAGGCGTCTGGGAAGGGAACTCAAAACTGGATTATAGATGGCAGACAGTTGGTGTCGTAAGCCACCGCCTTTGTTCAAAGATGGTCGCTCACAGTGGACATAAATGGCTTCTTTTACTCCTCTTTCAAACCATCCATCTTCTCTGTCCAAAATGTGAACACTGGCATTTTCGAAAGAGTGACCTTTGTTCTTTAGATGCAGATGGACTGCTGAGTCTTGTCACGTGGAGGTGGCTCTTATATGTTGTGCCATGCGTTGGTGAAGTGGCAGCAGAGGTGGAAGTATATACTGGAGAGAGGATGAATGGAGATCCGTAAAAGCAAGCCTGAATACATGTTTGTGGATGAAAGAGAGACGGATGGAGCACAGGTAACGAAGATAGATCGGTTTAAATAACTGGGGTAACTAACTCTCTCGACCGCGGACGAGAGAGGTGAAGACAGGAGAGCAGCAAGAGTGAGAGGGAAGGTTTACAAGATGGTAATGAGACCTGCTTTCATGTATGGTTTGGAGACAGGAGGTAGAGCTGAAGATGCTCAGATCTTCATTGGAAGGGATGGTGGACAAACATGAAGCAGATATCAAAAAAGAAATTTTATAGACAAAGTAGAGTGTTAATAGGCAGAGGGTCTTATACAATTGTAAAGCAAGCTAGCTCCTTCATTTATATACAGTCTTTAAATCGTCCCCCTGGCAAACCCAGTGTTGTTCCACGTTAACGAAAACACCTGAAACTATGAACATAACAAATTCCAAAGACATAACCCCGAATGTCACTTGTCAGGCTCACGGAGAGACAAACAAGCACTGTTCCTCTTAGCCTTTAGCCTACAATGAGTCACCTATCATAGAAACAGACAGCATGGGTCTTGATATCCATCTAAACATTAACTAACGGTTCACCTGTAAAGCTGCTGCGATCACCCACAAACATCCAATTTGGTTAGCGGACGTAAACACGCCCAGCCGTCATTTTCAGCATCACAGATAGACTCATAAAATCTTCAGTAATGACCACCCTTGGCGGGGAGGCGGAAAAAGATAAAGCTGAGAGCAAACTACCAAATCGCCGCACACATTAGCACGAAAAATGTGGAAAATAGCCGAAAATAAGCAACAAACGTCGTCCTCCTGACCCGCAGCCTCTTCCTGAGCAGGTCCATCGGACTATACCATTCTGAGGAGCAACCGGGAGGAAGGGAAATATCAACGTTGTTAAATTCTTATAAGATTGTTAAAAAAAACAAAAACAGAAAGTTTAAATGAGCAAAAACACTTTTCATCGCACACATGTGTATGTTATTGCACTGCATTAAATTTACTACATATTTGGACGTGTCCAGCTTGGCGCCTCCTCTTCCCGTCTCAGTAAAATTATTTCTCAGTTTAAACCAATCACAGTAGAGCGCTTGAATGGACGAGTCTCGTCAGCGTCACGTGATATATTCAGATAGTTCCTGAAAGTGCATACCGGGCAATTTAAATTTGTAGACTCAGAGACACGTCCGTCGATACATTTATTATTTGTGGTAATTATTAATCTCTAAATGCATTAACTTAAAAAAAATGTTATCTTATATGTAGTTTCATTAATATATATGTATGCGGTGAGTAAACGGTCACCGTTACCCAAAACGGTCACCGTTACCCACGGCGTTAACAGTTATTACTATGGCTTTAACGCCATTGTAACAAGTTAACATTGTTTTTCCATCCACCCATCCATTCTCCTCCGCTTATCCCTTTTCAGGGTGGGGGACTGGAGCCTATCCCAGTTGTCATAGGGCGAGAGGCAGGGTACACCCTGGACAGGTCGCCAGTTTGTCACAGGGCTAATTTAGAGTTATGTCTTTGGGCTGTGGGAGGAAGCCGGAGTACCCGGAGAGAACCCACGCAAACACGGAGAGAACATGCAAACTCCACACAGAAAGGCATATACTTAAAACATTTTCCAAAAACCCAGGAGTTGAGAATCTCAATACCTCCACTGGTTTTGCAGAGAACAAGTTAAATGCAGACATGCAGTAGGCTTGAATGGGAAACTGCCTGCTGATATTTAGCAAAGAATCATCAGTTACTAATGTAACATAAACTTTTATAAACCTATGTAATGACATGTAGAGCTGCATATCCTGTAAATGAAACTATCTACTGTAGAGTTAGTTTCTGTGTATATGGAAATAAATATAATGAAGTTAGTCTGTAGGCACATTTTGAGGCAGATCAGTTTGTACTAAAAAGGGAAAGTTGAGACTGAAGGCAGACGCAGCTGTCCCAAGCATCTTTATACATCGCCCTGTGGTCCAGAGGACGACCCCTGTACCACAATGCACACAAACACAGAGTTGCTGATCATAACTATACTGTTAAAAGTGTATGTCACTTTTAACAGTATAGCTACAAAAAATGTTAATAATGACAGCATGAATAATAACATAACGGTTAATATTTTTCTGCATTATTTCAAGGCATTATTTTAAACGTTTAAAGGTTACCAGTGCCACGCCCTGTACTCATACCAGTAAGAAAGACTGAGGAAAGAAAAATGGAAGAGATTGAGACAAGACAGTGTGACAGAGGGGAGACGGCTATAAGAGAGAGACCGGAAATGTGTCCCTCTGCGGCTCACGAATTGCTCGAGCGCCTGCGGAGGCTCTTTGAAGCTCACGCACGCAGACCTAAGGTGAGTCTGTTCATTGGAGATCCGACTTAAACCTTTAAAAGCGAAAACATAATTACATTACTTGCAGTTTAAACCGCACGATCACTCTATAAATACAGATTGGCCGTTTTTGTAGTGGACATACTGTGATTTCTTTCTTCTTCTAACAGGTGACCTGACTCTAAAAACTATAAGCAAACCTGAACTTTGATCTTTGCGCGTCCTCTGGCGGTCGTGGCTTGCTATTGGATCACTTCCGGTTCCTGTTACTACTTAACCTGCTGAAAAACACCACTGTAATCTGTGCATTACATGCTTACATGCTTTTGTTTAACGGCTCATTTCACATTGTAACCTTCACGTTCTTTATCAGAAACACACTCTTTGCTGAATCATCTGCAAATTATACGCATAATATTCACTCATTGTTTGTTTAGGAAGCTAACCTAATTGCTATTAGCTTAGCTTAGCCGAATCACTAGCAGCATGACTTCTCCTGTCCCTGGTGGTGTGCTATATGATAACAAGTAAAATACAGGGCCAATCTTACCGATACGGATACTTCAAAGTTATAAAAGCAGTTTATACAGAGCAGTGTGCTTGAACATGTTACAATAGTCACTAAATCACAGCAATAGTAACTTTCCATAATAATTAGTTAAAACAACAAAACAACCCTTTCAGCTTGTCATGTATTTTGAAACGTTTTTTTGTTTTTAAAAAAATCTAATTTCATTTAATTTTTTTTAGAAACCGAGTTTTAAAGAACTTTGGGTCAACTTCTGTTTTAAATATTTGTTCATGGTTCAGGTATTTTTTTTCAGTTCCAATACTAGAATTTATTTAACACATTTCAGATGATAATATTATTTGAATAACCAATAATACTTCTTTTTATTTACATAACGCCAAATCAGATCAACAGTTGCATCAAGATGCTTTTTATTGTAAGGCAAAGAGCTAACAATCAAGATGACCCCCTATGAGCAAACCTCACAAACTTACTTACTTAAATACTTTATTAATTGAGTAATTGAGTTCATTATTATTAGGTTGTTTTAAAAACATTCTGAAAAGCCTTTAGTTTTCAGGGCTCTCTTTTGTGGAAACAGCTCCCAGTTTAGTCAGATTTGTGTGGGATATTTTGCTCTTCGTAACAAGTAACAAATATGATTGATGTGATATTGGTGTCAAAACTTTTTTTTTCCTGTAAAAAGATTTTAAATGCGCCTTTCAGTACCTTTCTGAACTAAAATGACACCACTGACTCTAGTATTATCTGTAGGGTTTTCATTGCTAATAGAGCATTTCCCTGGCATTTCTTGTTTTAACAAACACAGAAAAGAAAAAGGGCTGAGGGGTAAATCAAACCTGATAACAGGATAACACTCCTCAGAGGTCATGGTGAGGAATATTACACTGCTGTTTAATCTTTGATTGAAGACTTGAAGATTAAAATGTCAAAAAAACAACAAAACAAAACTGTCTGTTGTCAGAAAGAGTAACCTCAGAGTCCAAAGGGTCACTGAGGAGAAGTTAATCTGTATGAGTGTCTCCACCTACCTGTACTGCCACAGCCAGGTGTGAGGCAACAAGAACCGAGGCAGGCTCCAAAGGTACAGAAGTCCACTAGAGGAGTTTCTCTCAGCAGATACAGGTAATGATGACAAAGGTCCTTCAGACAGCTCTGAGCAGGATCTAGTGTGTGAGCTGAGAATCAGGATCCTGGAGATATTTGATAGGCAGAGCAGTGAAAAACTCCTCTCTAATGAAAAACCAGGTGGTGCATATGTCCGCCTGTTAGGAGCTCATCATATTTTACTGTTTTACAGTTAATGTATTGTGTTGTTTGTAATCTTACAGGAGACCATGGAAAAGAAGCTAATGATCATCGACACCGATTGCGGCATAGACGATGCTCAGGCAATAATGATGGCGTTGGCGGCGCCTAACATCCACATCCTGGGCGTCACCTGCGTGTTTGGGAACACGACGGTCGACAACGTGTGTCAGAACGTTTTGAGGGTGCTCTCAGTCTGTGAGCGTAACGGGGTACGTTTACTGAAGCTGTCTGAACAATCACAATCTGAGAAAATGCAGATTTGTGTATTTTAATATAGATGTAATGTTCTTAAATGATTCATTTTATACGAATTTTTTACTGAATGTTTCACCTGCTGTGCAGCACTTCGGTTCACGTGTGTTTAAATGTGCTGTAGAAACAGTCTAAGTTGTTACTTTTCAAAGTATTGATGTAGCACACAGACTCATTAGTCACAACAATTAGGGTATTGTCGAAATTAGAAGAGCACAGACCTCCAGCGATTCAAATATCAATTATTAAATAAAAACTGCATCACACACACACACACAGATGTTATGTTTAGAAACAATGATCTGTTTCTAAACTGCCCTCTCTGAGGTCCCTTTAAGGATTTTTTTTTTTATACCTTTGTAAATCATCCATTGGTTGTTTAAACAGATGGGATTTGTCTGCCTTTGAGAGTCAGTAACAGACTTCCTGTCATGCATGTTCATAAAATGTTAGTTTAACCAGATTAGGAGAAAGGTTCCTGGACTAGTGAATTTCTGCTCACGTAAACACAAATGGCAGCATTAAAATAACATCCCTGGCGGAGTTTAATATATTGTAATCTTTGGTATTTTGTGACAAGTCTTGCTGAGCCTGGCCAGCAGGGTTTACACCGCAGTGTTGTGTCGGCAGAACTCAGGTGTTAATCTGTAAGGAAAGCTGCACTAATCTGAACTTCCTCCTGTAGATTCCAGTGTTTCGAGGTTCTGCTGGCCCTCTGGTTGGAGCGGGAAACTCACCCACTGACCACTTTGGAAGTGATGGACTCGGAGATGTGATAAAGGAGAAAGATCCTTGTTGGGAGGAGAAAATCCAAAAGGAGCATGCAGTTACCGCAATGATAAGACTGGTGTCCGAAAACCAGAACCAGGTTCAAAACTCCTTCGTTTAGTCACAATTTGATCCTAAATTGTGATGCGTTTCCCAAAGAGCATGATTCTTTGCTCAGTTAGGCACAGATCTCAACAATTCCCCTTGAGAAAACACTAATGGAAGAAAACATGTCCTCCACAGGTCTCCTTGGTGGCTCTCGGCCCGCTCACTAATCTGGCGCTGGCGGTCAGACTTGACCCCCATTTTCCCCAAAAGCTCAGGGAGGTGTACATCATGGGCGGCAACATGGAAGGTAAAACGGCCTCGTGGTGACCGGTGTTCGAGCGTGAAGTGTTCAGGAGTGAATAATGGTGCTTCTGCCCCTATAGGAAAAGGAAACGTGACTCTGTGTGCAGAGTTTAACTTCGCCATGGATCCAGAGTCGGCCTATATTGTTCTTGAGGAGTTCCTCTGTCCTACCTACCTGGCATCGTGGGAATATGCGTGCAGAAACGCACTGACGTGGGTAAGATCTCCACGCTTAGAGAAGTGCATGGCCCTGCTGTGTGGGTCACTTTAAACTGAAATTCCTGATTTGTGCAGGAGTTCCTTGAGGAGCTCGTCAATCAGGACGCTCCAGCTGCACGCTTCATGAGGATGATAACGTCTAAATGCTGGGCTTATTCCAGAGAGGCCATGATGACTAAGAGAGACGTGTACTTTGGGCCGGGCTTTGTCTCCTATGA